AATATGTAGATTATTTTAACCGTAAGAAATCTTGTGTTTTTTTTCTCCCAAAAATACTCACAAATAACATATGAAATGTCGGGTTTGCTTCGGGCTCGGGCCTGCAAATCGGGCTCGGCTGACGTCACTGCTTTCTCGATTCTCATCTTGATCGTGAGCGCTGTCTTCACCGCTTAAATCGCCGACACTTTTACCGGGGACGGGGGTCCACGGCCGGGCTTCGTCTGTGTCGCTGGCCCCCTCGTCACTGTCGACCGGGGTCGGATTCCGTGCGTCTGGTCGCGAGCGTAGCGAGGCCACTCCCCCGCAAGCGAGCATTTGCTCTGGAGCAAATTTAATCCAGCTGTGTTCACACGTGCACATTTGTTTCGGCGTAGCGTCGCAAACGAGCATTTGCTCTGGAGCAAATTTTTAAACCACCTCCCTGAGGTGGATCAAATTTGGTCCGGTATAAGCTCTTTAGTGGAGCTACGCCGGAGCAAATGTGCACGTGTGAACGCTCGACTGGATTTATTTCGGAGCTGCGTCGGACCAAACGTTGCCGTGTGAACGGGGCTTAATAGTCCCGTCCCACCATTTGGTGAACGAAAGTAGGAGTTCCTGTGTCTTGTTGCGAATGCATTTAGTGAAATTCATTGTTGACATGTTTTTGTGGCAGTTTTTAATGTTGGCATGCAGAGGGTTGGGTCTGTGGAATGCCTGTCAACACATCAAATGTGAAATTAAACAACCGTGTAAATCTGCAGCGATCTGATTTGTGTGTTTAGGTGAGTTGATGCACCACAAAAGGTTTTCATTCTCTTGGGCACTTCCATGTTTTCTAGACTCGGGGCAACTTCAATGATGGAGCGGGCCACAATTTTCCATCAGCACAATACAATACATCTTTATTTATACAGCGCTTTCACAAGAGCTGCAGCTGGAACAAAGCGCTTTACAAAACAGTTAACATAAAATAATACAACAGAACACATAACATAAAACATGGACAGTCATATCATCATAACAACTATTCCTGCATACGCCTTGTTGATTGAAGCAGTTATAGCTGAACGAAGAGAGAATCAAAGTCTCCTTTCACCAGCGGATCAGAGACGTGACGCTCAAAACATGCATGCCGCCGCACACGACAGGTATAAGCCAAGTTTAAAAGTAAACAAGAAACTGTCGCATCCATTGACACTAAAAGAAATGAGTTCACTTCTCCTGTCAATTTTAAATCAGCTTCAATTCCAAACGGCGACTCTCGTTTCCAATTACGCATCTGCGTCGGTTGGATGACTGCTCCCAACCAATATCGGCTGTCCAACAGCGTCGACATCTCCGCTGAACAAAAGGAGGCTGTGAAAAATGCTGCCCAATACAGGCGCAAAAAAAAACAAGCGCCACGGGGCTGTCAAGTGGCAACAGTCAAATAGCGCCAACACCCCACCCCCAGTCTCCCCCCCCACCCCCCATCAAAATCAGAGCTGGTACACGCCTGCTGCCAAGAAGGCGCAACCATCCAGCACAGATTCTTCTCTAAAATACTGAAAAGGACTCCAAACACCATAAGACAAAACAAAATTCAAAAACAACAGTTACAGTTACAGCACAACTAGTGGGCCACATAGGACCACACACTTCCTAATCAGATTTATGACAAGAATGCCACTTTAAATATGGGCAAAATATGTGCACATAGCGAATACGTGTGATTGACAGTCAGTTGGGCAATAGATGAGATGATAAACTGGGACTAAACACGGCATCAAATCCAATGGAACATAGCTCAAGCTACCTACGAGCCCTTGTTGGCGTTTTCACTGTTTGGATCTCGCGGTTTGGTGTTCGTAAACGCAAGTAGTTAGCTGTTTACTGAACTGGATTGTCAATGTTACAGCAGTGTTTTGCGATGTTTTTAAACATTTGTAGTTGTTTTAGAACATAGCATGTACTTTCAACTATAGATATAAGTATAATTAGTTTTAGAAGAGGCTCAATTATTTGCATAAATTCAATATTTGCTCACTGACTTTCTCATTCTTCTTCTTCTCCTTTCGGCTTGTCCCTTTTTAGGGGTTGCCACAGCGAGTCATTAATTTCCATCTTTCCCTGTTCTCTGCATCCTCTACTCTGACTCCAACTACCTGCATGTCTTCTCTCACGGCATCCATGAATCTCCTCTTTGGCCTTCCTCTCTGTCTCCTACCTGGTAGCTCCATCTCTAACATTTTCCTACCAATGTATCCCCTGTCCCTCCTCTGTACATGTCCAAACCATCTCAGTCTGGCCTCTCTCACTTTTTCTCCAAACTTTCCTGTCTGAGTTGTCCCTCTGATGACCTCATTTCTGATCCTGTCCATCCTTGTCACTCCTAAGGAGAATCTCAGCATCTTTAACTCAGCCACCTCTAACTCTGCCTCCTGTCTTTTGCCAATTGCTAGTGTCTCGAGACCGTACATCATGGCCGGTCTCACAACTGTTCTGTAAACTTTTCCCTTTACCTTAGCTGACACCCTTCTATCACAAATCACTCCTGACACTTTTCTCCAGCTGTTCCATCCTGCCTGCACGCTAGTCTTCACTTCCCTTCCACAATCTCCGCTGCTCTCAACTGTTGATCCTAGGTACTTAAATTCCTGTATCTTCGACACCTCTGCTCCCTGTAAACTCACCGTTCCACTGGTCTCCCTTTCATTTATGCACATGTACTCTGTCTTACTACGACTGACCTTCATTCCTCCTCTCTCCAGTGCAGACCTCCACCTTTCTAGGTTTTCTTGTAGCAGCTGCCTACTCTCACTAAAGATCACAATGTCATCTGCAAACATCATGGTCCAGGGCGACTCCTGTCTGACCTCATCTGTCAATCTATCCATCACCATAGCAAACAAGAAGGGGCTCAGGGCCGATCCTTGATGCAGTCCTACCTCCACCTTGAAGTCTTCTGTCCGTCCAACTGCACACCTCACCACTGTTGTACTATTCTCATACATGTCCTGAACCAACCTAACGTACTTCTCTGCAACCCCTGACTTCCTCATACAGAACCACAATTCCTCTCTTGGCACCCTGTCATAAGCCTTCTCTAAATCTACAAATACACAGTGCAGCTCCTTCCTACCTTCCCTGTACTTCTCCATCAGCATCCTCAGGGCAAATATT